CTTCACTTGTTTGAAGTACTGAAAAACTGAACTCTTGGGCAGGGGCTTCAGAATTTTGGGGATCTTAATCAAGAGAAATATCCCACAAGGCTACCTACAGTAGTTTAGGTAATGTTTCAGTATGGCTGTTGTCACAAAGTCCAGCATTTCATAAGATTAGAATATAGATAATCGTTGACTTATAACCACAATTTCCTTGGTAAGCATGTGGTTGTTAAGTGAGTTGCACCAGTTTTTACGACCTTTTTTTGGGTCACCTTTATTAAGTGAATTACTGCAACTGCTGACTGAATCATATGGCCATTAAGAGAATCTGAATGCCTCAGTTCACTTTTGCTTGTCAGACTTCCACTGTAAAGACTGAAATACCTTTTTTTAAAACCAAAGTCTCTGAACACATAAAAGAAAACCATAATTTCTACTAATAACCGAATCATCAGATCAGTTCTACACAAGTGGTTCTTGGGTCAATGATGGCAATTGGGGCTGGAATTTTCATCATTAAGTGATGCGGTCACTTAATCACTTGACTGTAGTACTTGGCGACAGCAATCCTGGCAGTCCCTTTTTCTGCTGTTAAGCAAAAAAACATAGGTCATTAGGCGAAGCCTCCTTGCAACTTCCTGCTAGCTTCCCACAACCAAAGTCTGTAAGTTGGCTTACAGACAGGAAGTTGCAAGTCCTAGGATGCTTGTATGCAGGCTGGCAGGCAATTAAGTGGCTGCTACCAGGGAGGGAGAATACGAAGGTGATCACAGTGGTTCTGAGTAAGCAATTTTGGGCAGAAAATGCCTGCTGCTGGATGAGGGAGGGTGCACAGGTGATTGCAGCAATGCATATAAGTAATTCCAGGCCTGGGGATTATTCCTACTAAGTGAGGGAGGGTGCATGGGTGGCTACAGCAGCATATCCAAGGTATTTTGTGGTGCTGAGTGGGGGAGAGTGCACAAGTGGCTGATGGAGCCAGAATGACTCCTGGTTGGCAAGGGAGATTTACCAGAGTTTTTGGTGACCTTCTCTGATGTCTTCTCTATTTATTTTATTTATTGGAAGCCAGCAAGGAAGGTCACAAATGACAATCATGTAAATGCGGAGCACTGCAAGCATCCTAAGTGCGAGCTGGGTGGTTGTGCAATGACTGCAACTTCAAGATCCAACTGTAAGTACCACTCATTCAGTGCCACCACAACTTCAAATAGTCACAGAATGACACAAAACAAGGATTACTGTTTAGTCCTTCACTCACATCCATTCTTATTTCCAAAAACAATTTGACCACTGATACACACAAGATGTTGCAAGGACAGTTCTTAAACATTTTAAATACCATGATTTGGATTTTTTAATAATAATTTTATTAAAGTTAAAAGATTAATAGAAACTCAGAAAAATATAAAAAAAAGAAAAGAAAAAGAAAAGTCCAAAGAACAAAGAAAAATTTAAAAAGGGAAAAAAAGATATATAAAAGATGACTCCTGAATAATTAAAAACAATTTTCAGTTAACTTCTCTAATATTTCAATAAAAAAATCTCTTTTTTCCATATTTCAATCCATATCAATAATCATACTGTAAAAATTCCTGGGGTCATTTTTTAAATCTACCTGGCCATCCTAATTCCTCAAAAAAAAAAAAAAAAAAGACAAGAATTCTTGCTGCATTTGTTAGGCATGTTCATTGACCCAATTAATCTCCACTCGTGGGAACACATTCCTCAACAAACTACCCCCATATATTCAACCAGTTTAAACTGTTCCATTTTATTGCTAAGATACCTTTTCCACTGAATTGTTATCTACGCTTAAACATTGAAGGTCTATTCTGAAATATTACAATCTTAGTCTTCACACACTGGAAGGCTTAGAAGTATAAATATGGCTAAAAATTTTAGCTTACTCAAATCCGTATTTTAAGTGGGCTGTTTTTAATTTGCATAATATAGTTGCAGCACTGTTTCTTGATGAATTGCATAAGCAAGGACTTCAAAATTACTGTTTTCCAGGGATGGATTTTTTTACTGTTTTGTAGAACTTAGCATTTCCTGAAGCGTTTGAATATTCTAATTTATGGCAAATAAGTTGCCATAGCTGCTTTTAGTCTTATTTATTTGAAGTATCTAGCAAAACAAACTGCACCTCTGAAAATTAAGGGAGGGAATCTTCTTCAACAATATGGAATGGGCAGGAGAAAATAATAATGTTTTTCTATGCTGTTGAGAATAATATTATCCATTTTATAACTGTTTCAAAAAGAATTCTATCATTTGATAGATGAGAGAAGATAAGCTGCATGTATCCACAATAACCAGAAATTATGCCCTTGATTGGGAGAAATATTAGATTGTATTAAACCTACTGGGACTAAAATTTAAAATTACAGGAATCTGGAGATGTCATGGTTGTTTTGGACAGAGGAGATTAGATGATGCAGGCACTATGGATGTTTTTGCTTTTATAGCATCTGCCATTTAACATCATTTCTTCCTATTATTCATCAAAGATTGCACATCATATCTCTTAGTAAGCAATCACTTCTATTACTGATAGGTTTGCCAAAGTGGCTCTTATAACATGAGTAGGAGCATTAGGTATCAACCAGGGGAAAAAAAGAAGTCATACCCACACTGCCATAATAATGTCAGAAGATTTTTTTTACACTTTGCTCTTTTAAAATCTGTAATCTTAGAAATGCTACAATCTTGTGTAAGATTGTGGCATTTCTCAAAATATGAATGATGTGGTTACTCTAATACAGGGGTGTCAAACTCTATTTCATTGAGGGCCACATCAGCATTGTGATTGCCCTCAGGGGGCTGGGTGGGTGTGGCCAAGGTGGGTGCGGCTTACTGGGTAGGTGTGGATGGAGTGGGTGTGGCCTACTGGGTGGGTGTGGCCAGCTCTACATTGTTCGTGTCAAGGGTGCCTGTGGGGGCCTGGGCAGGAGTGGGATAGATCTGAGGGCTCTGGCAGAAGGGGGTGGGACAGGGCAAGTGCCAAGGCATGGTCCACTGGAGGAGCCTCACTGTTCCTCTCAGGCCATGCAGGAGGTTGGCTTTTGGAGCTAAGATTGAATGCGTTTTAGCATAGATGGCCACCACAAAATTGTACATTGGCTCCCAGCTGGCTTGAGCCAGGGCCAAGGCAGAAGGGGCTGTTCCCTCACTGTTTCCAGAATGGCTTCATGGGCGACATGAAACCACTTCGCGGGCCGCATCCGATCCCCGGGCTTGTGTTTGACATGTCTGCTGTAATACATCAACAAAACCACTGTACTTTCAGACCAAATCTGAATGTGATGCACATAAATTCTGAAAACGGTGCAAAGGTTTATGTATGTATTTTAAACAGGGATAGGGTGTGAGATCTTTTTGTATTTGGTCTCCTGCTATTCCCCATCTCTATTCCTATCCCTATTCCTATGTTTATTTTTTCAGTGTTCAGAAATCTGTTCCAAATCTCTATCCTTCTGTCTATCCACCCATTTCTTTTAACTTTGTTAACTGATCTCTTGAAATAATACATAAATATTAATAGAAGAAATACCATACTTTTGTGCTGTTTTATCAATTTTTTGAGGTTAAGAATCCAAGCCTGGTGGGGAAGGATTGCAATTTACTTGAATCACACCAGTATTTTATTTATTTATTTAGCCTGCCTATAATATATTGGGGTGGAAAACACCGTTCTATTAGTTTAAAGATAAAAGGATAATATAATAACATATGTAAAAATCAGATGCTTCTTTTTATACTTTTATTCATACTCATTGTTCTCAATTCGATTTAGGAGTGATTTCAGACATTTGATTACTTTTATTTTGCAAAAAATAACAAGGATTATATCAGTACTTTTAAATGTTGACCAAAATATGAATAAAATACTCTTGACAATAAAAGATGAATATTAAAAAATGTAAACACATGGAAATGATTCTCAAATGAGGAGGAAAGATACTTATACAAAAAGGAGGGTTATTTATGTGAATTTCTTAGAGCAGAAAATATATTCATGACCTGGATATGTATCTTAACGCAAAGAATCCAATGTCAAGAGACAATTTCTTACAGCATTCTTAATAAAATTACCTGGATAGATATTCCTACTCCCTATCTTTGTAAATAGTCATTGGGTAGCTCAACTGGGTATGACTAGTGTTCAAAGTTCAGATTTCAGTGAACATCTGGAATAGCTGAAGTGCTCAACTTGTTCAATGAGCTTCATTTCCAATTTAAATATTTTTTTATCGGGCAGAATTACATTGCCTGCATTTTTCAAATTTGCTTTGGAGGGATAAGCAGGAACAAATTAGGAGGCCTGAGCAAGAAATGGGAATTGATTCTGCTTATGAGCAAAAAACTTTGGGCATAGCTTGTTAAATGTTGCAAAAGTGAGATACAAAATCAGTTATTTCTGATTATTTGACACAACTCTTATGGTTTCTTTGCAAGTTGGTATTTTAACTATTTACTATTGGACTTACTCTTCAGTTTAAATATCACATTTTATTTATTTGATGCTACTTGCATAATATTTGTATGAATTTATCAGATAATGCATCAGGGAATTTAACTGAGCAGGTCTTTGGATTTTAGAGAATTTTAGAGACTGAATTCCAACATTGATAAGACTTCTAATCATAACAAAATTTCTCTAGATTTTCCATGTAGCAATGGAATCCTACCATTTTTTTGTAACATTTGAATAAAACAGAATTTCATTCTCATTTGGATTATCAGTTTATATAGCTCCCAAATTTGTTGGAAGAGAATTTTCTTTTGTGATTGCTGATCCATTTGGGTTGCATAAATTGCACAGGTTTACTTATATACCTATGTCCATTTACAATAATAAATAAAAAAAGAGATTCAATTTACAACCTTACATCCATTTACTGGAAGCACCACTTCTTTGTAGGCATGAATAGAATTGTACTGTCAAGGAGATACATGCATATGTTGTATATGATATAGAATATTTACACGTGTTTATAAATTTTACTTACCAGAATGAAGAGGCAACTAGCGGCAAGCCATGTATGTTCAGGAATAGTAGAAAATACTGACAAAATCAAGCAACCAAACACAAGGAGAAAACTGTAAAACAAAAAAGTACAAATAACAGTTGAGGACAGTGAAAGCTAAAGGAGAACTATAAATAGATGAAGTATTCTGATCTCAGAATGATAACGATAATAAAAATTGCATGCTGCCCAACTTTCAAAAAAGAAATTGTACCCCACTAGAATAGCTTATTAATGCCATCCAAAGATATAAAATGATGTTCCTATTCTTTTAAAGCTATGATAACACGTGGAAAAGGGACAAATAATGGGAGTAAGTTGCATTGCATGTGTGCACAATAACCATACTTATTTTATAAGGTTGCTTCATGATTTATTTTTGTGACTTTTTCACAGAAAGCTCTTAAACAGATGATTGAAATAAAGCCTTTCAAAGAAGCTTAAAGTCAAGTATTTATTTATTTGCATTTTATCCTGCCTTTATTACTTTTTTATAATTAAAAGGTGGTAAACATACCTAATACTCCTTCCTCCTCCTATTTTCCCCACAAAAACAACCCTGTGAGATGGGTTGGGCTGAAAGAGAGTGACTAGCCCAAGGTCACCCAGTCAGCTTTCATGCTTAAGGCAGGACTTGAACTCACCATCTCGTGGTTTCGAGGCCAGCACCTTAACCATTAAACCAAACTGGCTCTTTAATAGTGACATTAACCCATTCTTTCTTTTAAAATCCTTCCCATCATGACATCTACTTAAATAATCCTGCAAAATTCTTCTACAGCATAAAAGGTGGCATAGTTGCTGAAGATCAAATGTCTTCTTCAACCCATGTGGGCCACTGGCTATGCTCTTCTGTGCATTGTACGAAATAAGAGACTAAGGGCTTTTTTGTACTCCTTCTTACTGATGGAAACACAATAAACTTCTAAGAGTTTTCCTCCAAATAATATCACTGGGATTTTTAACTTTTTTGATTAAAGAGAAATGCTTAGCTTAACACAATGAACCTAATCCTGGTGTCTTGTAAGTCATTATTTAATGGAATAGTATTTGTTGTTGTTGTTAATTGCGAAGTTCTCCCCAGGAGCAAGCGTCTTTTAATTTCTTGGTTGCAGTCCCCATCTGAGGTGATCTTTGAGCCCACAAAAATAAAATCTGTCACTACCTCCATTTCTTCCCCATCTATTTGCCAAGAATTGAGAGGGCCGGATGCCATGATTTTGGTTTTCTTAATGTTGAGTTTCAAGCCAACTTTTGCACTCTCCTTCTTCACCCGCATCAAGAGGCTCTTTAGTTCCTCTTCACTTTCTGCCATTAGAGTGGTATCATCTGCATATCTTAGGTTGTTGATATTTCTCCCGGCAATCTTAATTCCAACTTTTGATTCATCTAGCCCTGCCTTTCTCATGATGTGCTCTGCATATAAGTTAAATAGGCAAGGCGACAGTAAAAAGCAAAAGCAAGTCTTGCCAGACTCCTTTTCCAATTTTGAACCAATCAGTGGTTCCGTGTCCAGTTCTCACTGTTGCTTCTTGACCCGCATATAGGTTTCTCAAGAGACAAATGAGATGGTCTGGTACTCCCATCTTTTAAGAACTTGCCACAATTTGTTGTGATTCACACAATCAAAGGCTTTTGCATAGTCAATGAAGCAGAAGTAGATGTTTTTCTGGAACTCCCTAGCTTTCTCCATGATCCATGAATAAACAGTTATAGTTTGTTCAACAAACCAAAATTAAAACACAAAAGCAAAAACAAACAACAAACTCTAATGCAATGTGACAAATAGCTATTGTTTTCTTGCTGATCATTAGCAGAATATTTGATTACTAAGAAAGGCAGTCATGAAAAGGGTTGGGAAAAAAATAATAATGAATCCCATTAGCAATCTTGTTCCATCTCAATCACTTAAATGGTGAAGTTCAGATCCATCCCTCTCCTCAATCATGGCAGAATTTATTAAGAGCCGTAGAGTTGGTGAAGCACATAAAAAACAATTTTTCTTGGGCAAGAACCAGAACACACATATAAGCAGTTAAAATCCAGAAAAATACAGGTGTTACATTACCATTGACTACAGTATGAATTACTACATATTTGCTAATTTTCTAACTAATCTGGAAGTTCCTTCCTTAAAGTTTATTTGTACATACATAACTAAGGATCCATCATGCCATGGCAATATACAGTGGTTAATGGAAATGTCCAGGTGCAGGATTTACCATTTTTTACTTCAGTAAAACCAGTGGTTTTTGAGACCTTTTGCTGGAAGAGGGGAGTGTGCATTAACATGCCCATTATGCCACTATTCATGGCATTTAAGATCTTCTATTCCTTTGTGGCTGCCCTAGTTTCATACGTTATAATAGTGAATTTAATCACATCTCATTTGTGGTAACTACCAGGGTCAAGCAAAGTAACATCATGGCAGTTCTTTTACTCCTTTATTCCATACATGCCTTGCACAAGGAAAATTAACTTTAAGTTCCATGCTAACGCCTTTCTTTTAAAATGGGCTATTTTCAAACTTAGCGTTCACTGACAGTTTTGGTAATATAAGCCAGGAGGATTACATTTTCCATCACTTCTAGTTTCAGTGTGACTTGTTTATGTAAGTAAAATGAGAACTGACCAAAGCTATTATAATTTAAAAAAATATTTGGATAAAAATTGTATGGAGCACAAGTGTCCCTTCATGTAGAGCAGTTTGTAAATTTATAACCACAAATATGAATACTAAATAAGTTGTTCTTTAGACTTTATAACTTTATGATTTCAATAGCCAAAAGCTCATGGAACTGCTCGCATAAAGATTTAGTAGCATAATTAAGAAGAGTAGATTATAGTTGAGTTTTTCTTCAATTGGAAAATAAGACTGTGGTAATTGTAACTTCTGTCTTATTTGTTACACTTTAAGAAGGGAAGAATGAACTCCTGATAGCAACTTGTTCCCAAATTAGAAATGCAAATTGTTTTAGTTCTGTGATGGATATGACGCAGTTTGTCTGAATTGGCCTCTTTTATTTCTGTGAACTATAGGGAATATGGAACTGAAGTACTCTTTCATAACCAAATCTTTTTACAGTTTTTAAAACATGAGGTTTTATTTTCTAGGGGAGAAGGTACAAAACTGAATTCAGTTATAAAGAGAACATACTGGAGAGAACCTGGTATATGAAAAGAATTGTTTGCATGAAAGGGAAACCTCTTTAAACTGTTTAACAAATTTGGATGTGGACTGCTTCTTGTGTAAGTCTGTTGGGGGAGTCCCATAAACTGGAAAAGCTGCTTATAATCACCCCAAAAATGCAAACTTGGTTTGTTTTAACCACAGAATAGGCCACAATATTTGAGCTTATCCTAGAATTAAGCTAGGAGGATAATCTATGACCCCAGGCCTTGAAAAGCCTTTTTAAAAATTGAAATCCCTTCAAGTTGCTTTGCCAAATTTCAGTTTCCATTATTCTAAGATAGGAAACACATGGCAGTTGTCTTGACGTAGACATTTAAAAAGTTTTACTCAGTGGTTCTGCTGGTCTATTGTCACCATGCTACAAGCTCCCAATCAGCTGATCAGCATACTAGGCATCACACCTGATTCTCTGCCTTCAACCAGCTTGCTAAATTGTTATGTAGATGTTGTTTGTTTCTCTCTGGCTGTTAACAGTTGATTTGTCAGAGTGCCAGGCTTCCAGGAATTCTCTAGCTTTTTGGGACTTAGCTTGATCTAGGATGCTCGCAGTTTGTCAGTTGAAACTATGATTATGTCTGTTCATCTGTTGTGTGATTAAGGAATTTTCATCATGTTTTCTGACTGCTAGTTGGTGTTTATTTTTTGTATTGGCTGGATTGTAGTATTTTTATTTCTTGTTTCTAAATTTTAAACTCAAGAGTATGGAATATACAATGTACAAACACTTATAATAAATAAGCAATTTTAATTTAAAGTTTGGAGAAACTTAAAATAGGTCAAAACCACCTCAGAAATTTCCAAGAAACTACATTTACTGAATGTGCAGGGAGAAACGGCTCTGTAACCACCATAATTTTTCCTGGGAATGGAAAAGAAAAAAGACCAATACCTTGCTTTTCGTCTCAGGAAGTGATATGACTTGAAGTGGCTCTAACTTTACAGTCAAAGAAAGGATCAAATTTTACTAAACACAATATTTTCCCAAACATTTCTCATTCTGCAAACTCTCAAAAATGTAAAATGTATTGATATACAGAGGCAAGAGAGAAGAAGTGGTGGAAGACTGTCAGTGAATTTGGGAATATTTATTTTGCCTATCCCAATTATATCAGCAGTTCAAAAAACACATTTAAAAGTAATTCAATCCTAATTTTTAGACCCTCAACTCAGCACTATTTTGTTAATAGGAGTAATGTTTTGGCAGAAACCAGATTCTTTCCCTATGCCAGCCAATTGTTCAAACCAATCCTCACTTGGGAGACCAGGATCAGGCTGAATAAAAGCCAATCAGCAATTACAAGGGGGTTGTTGTAGGGTGAAGCCTGCTGAAAGCCTGCTTATAATCACTGGCTGAGGAATTCTGGGAGTTGAAGTCCACAAGTTTTAAAGTTGCCAAGGTTGAGAACCCCTGTTCTAGAAGATAACATTTTAATTGGCCCTAGAGTGAGCCACATATGATAGAGCTAAGAAAATGACAGCTACTAGAATATGCATAAACAGAAAATGTGTTCCTTTTCCCCAAAAAATTGAAACAATTTAAAGTGCAGCACTCCCTCAGCCTTCACTTCTTCAAAAATAAGGGAATGTAGTGTACTTCAGCCTCCTCTACATGGCTTATGTACCAGCTCCTTATTCGTTCTACCATCACCTATTCACCACCCTCACTGCCAAAGTAGCAGAGGGGCATTTCCTACTGGCTCACCCACTTTGATCTTCCCAGTGAATTGACTTCTCTTCCTTTCCCCCCCTCCTTTCTGCCACCACTGCCCATCTTCTGGTGGCAAAAGAAGGAAGAAGTCTAGTCTTCAGTGGTGTTTATAACCAGTGGCATGGAGCACCTTCCTGATCTCACAACATCTCTCCTTTCTTTCTCATTTTTG